GTTGCATGTGGGTGCTGAGAACAAACCCAGGCCCTCTGCAAGAGCAGCCAGCGCTCTTAACTGCTGAGACGTCTTTTGGAGATATTGATTCTATTAGACTTTGCAGGTCAGAGGGCAAGTTCAGCTGGTTACAGCACCAGGAATAGGGAATCTGGCCCCTTGAGTCACTCGCATTTCTGCTGCTGCTCCTTCCTCATGAAATCACTTTGAAAAGGCGGTCTACAGTCAACTTGAGGAGGGGTTGGTTGTTCGTAATTCTGAACAAGGAGAGTAGTTTGGTAGGAAGAGAACTGAAGTTTTTGCTGTGGGCCTGTGGCATTCTTACATTACCTCTCATCTTTGCCTATTGCTCCCTTGATTTTTCTCCCAGAAACCAGTCAGGATACATTGTACGAACAGGACTTCTTTTTCTGAGTAGCATCTAGTTAGGAAAGTTATTAATGATCAACTTCTATTAATGTCCAGTTTCTTTAAAATATCCATGTTGGTGTTATGCCCTGATTTCTAGATCTCAAACCATTGGCTCTACTTAAAAGGAATTGCTTCTGACAATTCTTTATTCTTCTTTGTGGGTTTCTGGGTCTGTTTTCCTTCGGTGAATGTATATTGCCTTTATTAGAAAGTATCTTTTTACAAAGAAGACTGCTTTGAGTAAGCAGTGACTAAAATCAAGTTCATGTCACAGTTTTTGTTTCATTCTGAATTCCATTGCCTCTGAAAAGCATGGCATTTTTAACAAAAGTTGTAAATTTAGACACTTTTGAGCTATAGTCTAGCTACCACATAAGTTCAAGCCTACCTTATAGTCCTTTCTCTCAGATATATTAGGGGAGCAGCAAAGGTTATTATTCCACATTTGATGTTGCTTAAACATCCTTGCCTATCTTAAATGTTTTCAAGGGATGTAGCTCAGTGATAGTGTTTGCCTAGCATGCACAAGGCCCTGAGTTCAATCTCCAGTACCATGAGGGAAAAGGGGGGAGAAAGAGACAGAGAGAGACAGAGAGACAGAGAGAGAACTCTCTCAAGATGGTCTGTCCCAAGTGTTACCAAGAGAGGTCCACTTTGCCCACCATGCAGTATGCCTATCACTGAAAGGTCAAGCTTTTCAAAGGAGAGTTATTTGTGGAGTGGCCAAACATGAGAAGACAGATGCTCCAAATAGCATATCTGTCTCCACAGGATAGGGTCTAGGAATATTTATGGGGCATAGAAACAGGTGACACAGATATGGGGAAAGGTGGTTGGAGGTGGAGAAAATGAAGCATTGAGTGGTCTGCTTATGGATAGTCAAACTACAAGGCTTTTCACATGATGCCAATTTTTTTCTTTATGAAAGAATTGTAAATCAACCAAAATACTTTAACAATATAGAATAATTTTACCTTTTCACCTTGTGCTTTCTTTTTTATTTCATTTGTTTATTTATTACTTATTTGTATGTGTGCATGTGCACATGTAGAAGTCAGAGGATAATTGATTCTCTCTTTCTACCATGTGGATTCCAGGGATCAAACTCAGGTTGGTAGGTTCAACAGCAAGCCTTTATCTGCTGAGCCATGTCACTTCCAGTCTTTGTGCTTTTTTCTTAAGTATAAAATTGAACTCAAATCCCCATCCTCTTTGTATTCTGCACTCTGTAAAGATGCCAATGATTGGGCCAGAGAGATAGCTCAGTGGTTAAGAGCATTGGATGCTCCTGCAGAGGATTCCCAACACCCACATGGCAGTTAACAACCATCCATAACTCCAGTTCCAAAGGATCCAGTGCCTTCTTCTGACTTCTGCAGGCATTGCATAGCACAGGTGCATTTGTATACATGCAGGCAATACATGTATACACATAAAAATAATAAAATATTTTTTAAAGATGCCAATGACTCAGTCTAATTATATTGCTTATGTTCATTCATCTTTTGTTCTTGTTTGGTATGAAGTATGTGATTCTAATAATGGAACACAAAAATGCAGCACCTTCATTGAGAAAGTACACCTCATTCCACCTTCTCATGTTCCAAAAGGAAGCAGCAGTTGACAGCAGTCAGGAAGCTGTACAGTACATAGTTACACTAACTTGCACTCCTTCAGCTTTATAGTCGTTTCATCACTCAACGTACTTTTTAAGTGATCAATAGATATATTTAGACTGTCTTTATCCCTTTGGGACTGATTAGAGCCTGAGAGCTTAAGCCTTAGAGTTACAACATGGAACAGCAGAAAATAATACTAGGATCCCTGAGGATCCTCTCTCCCAGCAGCAAAGACTACTTAAACAGGTATATATTTCCGTATTGTAAACTGATCTATGACCCACATTTGTTAGTATTGCTTATTCAGAGTTCAGTAGACCTACTCATCCAAAATAAAGAAAATCCCTTAGAATACTTAAATGGTATTCTTCCAGTTTGTGGCTTTACTAGACTCTTCCATATAACTGCTATTGAAGCTCAATTTTCTTAACAAAAGTCAGAAGCAAAGTTAAGCTTTTGCAGTGCATTCTCAGATTCAGCATTTCCTGGGTCAGAAGCCTTATATAGTTCTGTAAATCAAATCTGTCTTCTTACATGAGAGGTGATCTAGTAAAGGATGAATTTGGACCATGGGACTAATTGTTCACCCATTTCATTCTGATTGTAAATTTTTCATGTCTGCCTCCCTGATTTTGGCCTTCTTGGACATGAACAGAATAGTTAGCCATACTATAGCAGGAGAGTTGGGTAGAACGTGAGATCAAAATTAGCATATTATTACAGCCAGTTGGAAGAGAGACACTGAAAACCCCTCATCAGGAAGGCTGACATATAACAGGACATGCACAGAAAAAGTGCATTCTATGAAAATGACCCGAAAACCACAGTTATAAAAGTCTCAATTCTTTATACTGCTCCATTCAGCCTCTGACCCTGTTCCCCAGCTCTGGCCCATTTTCTGCTTTTGAAATGTTTTCTTCTTGATGAGCTATCCCTGCTTCAGCCACTATCTGCACATCCCTGGTCCGGTTCCTTCTTACAAGACACAGGAACCTAGAAGTTCCAATGAGACCCCAGTATCTGCCTATAACAAAGCCGCCAGTAATTGGTGATGTCTCAGAGTATACACACAGATCGTTGCCAGTAAAGTCACAACTGTAAAATAAATTTAATTTGCATTAATGAGATCAGTAGAATTACCAATGTTCAGCATTCCCCAGGCACAGATGACTGTTTCTAAGTCCACTTTCCTAAAATTTTTACAAATCAGGACGGGTAAGATGGCTCATTAAGTAAAGGCATTTACTACAAATGCCTAATGGCTGGTGACCTGAGTTCAGTCCCAGGACCCAGATAGCGGTAGGGGAGTACGGACTTCCACAGGTTTTCCTCATCTTCATGCATGCAAACACTCATACTTGCTAATCACATAACTAAGTAAATAAACAAAGCAAATTAAAGTTTATAAATCATTATATTCTGGACATTAAAATGTTTTGTTGTGTCAATAATCTTTCAGTTTATCTGGAAGCCACTGAGTGTTTGCTAGAAAAAGAAGAAGCACATGGGTTGGTTCAGGAGCTAACACAAAATTATCCTTCAGAAATGAGTGTTAAGAGAGTTAGCTTAAGCCAGGCATGGTGGCGCACGCCTTTAGTCTCAGCACTCAGGAGGTAGAGGCAGGCAGATCTCCATGAGTTCAAGCCCAGCCTGGTCTACATAGTGAGTTCCAGGCCAGCTGGGGCTACAAGAGACCCTGTCTCAAAAAGACAAGAAAAAAAAAGAGTGATAAAGTAAGAGAGGTAGCCACCATGGACAGGATGATGGGAGGCCCAGAGGAGAGCCTTCAAAGAAAAATCTTGAGAACCAAGGAAGAGTGTGGCATGATTTCTTCAGGTTGTGGATCTGGCCTCTTAGTGTCACTCTTAAAAGGACAGGACTATGATCTAACACATAGTATTTACCAAAGGAATGAATTTAACAGGTAAAGCATATAGGTGACAAGATTGTACCTACTAAACAAAAAAGTCACTAACTGTATCTAGGAGCTCTTAATTTTTCAATTAAAATGTGAAATACTAAGTTGTTTTTGTCAGGCTTGGTGTGTAGTTCAGTAGTAGAGCTCTTGCCCTGAGTTTGATCCTCAGTCCTGCTTAAA